GGTGTTAGCCCAAAATGAACTTATTTGTGTGAATTTATTTGGTTTGAGTAAATAATCTTTAAATGAGTGTCCATTTACCAAAACATACTGACATTTGAACCATGCACCTTTTAGCATATCATTGTTGTAGATACCCCCTACAAAGTCGTGAAATTCACAGCATGTGGTAACCCTGAGGCTTTTGGGAAAATAAATAAAAATATTTACTTGTGAAATGATGATAATTTTCATTTGGGATCAGAAGGTTCAGAGTCAATGAGTGTTTTGTAATTCAATTGCTGCCTAGCCATGGGAAGATTATGTCCCTTGTGATGAGGACAGTTGCATACTTGTTCAGGAATAGGTCTGTTTAGGTGGTCTGTTTGGATATTATTTTGTGGGTGGTTACACAAAACCAAATGTTTTCCCATCTTTTTCTACAGTAACGTTATATTATCTTTTTCAATTACTACGCATTTAACAGCCATTACATGTACATGTAGGCACAGTCTGGCCTTAAAGCTGTGATAAAAGTATAAATTTTGGCTAGCTTAGCCAGTTCCTTTCCGAGTACAGGAAGCTAAACACACCACCCCAGCTCTGCTCCAAATATCACCTGTTTGAAAATATCTGTGGTCACATTCAGCGTATATCCTAATGTCAAAGAAAGACAGCACTAAATACTGAAAAACATTGTCAGTTTTAATTACTGGATGGATGTTCGTTTAAAAATCATACACAATATCATCCCACAGGCACAGCTGCCCAATTTCTCAGTCTAGACTCATCTTCTCTGAGAAAGCATCTGTCCAAACAACTGATTCTGATTGGTGTAGTAGAACCTCTAAGGCACCACAATTCACTGTGCAGTAGTGCGTGCTAGAACCCTGAGGTCATGGGTTTGAATCCAAGATTCGTTTGATTATGTTTCTAGGTTTGTCAGCACCATACCTGTGCTCGTAGGTTTCACCAAAGTGGTAAAGGTCTAACACCAACATCAATTCTGGCTTTTCTCTCGCATCAAGCGGACATGCCTTGATATGACTGAATAACTGTTCAAATTCAGCCCAGCCCGTATTCATGCTTACAGTATGCATATTTTACTTGTCTTGGAACATTTTGTTTAAAAAAATAATATAAAAAATAATTCCATTTTCTTCAATTTGAAATTAGGATGAAAATATAATTTTGTGTGGACTAACACCAAATATTTCAATCTTTACTGTTTAATTGGCATTCTAAAAGTTGGTTAGTAAATAAGAAAATGTACATCTTTATGGAAACTGACTTCTGTTTTTTTGCATTAGCGACAGTTGTTATCCATAAAGATGTATGTTTTATTTTTTGTCCTTATCAGCCAACAACCAATGCAGAATAGAGTACCCAAATGGTAAGTGTAATAAATATCTTGAATGACAATGAGAATTGCATTTCCATCTCCAGTTGACATCGTTGTAGTCCAACTAGTAGTTAGTTGTTAGACCATCTAGTAGTTAGTTGTCAGGTAAACAGTGTCAACTGTCTGGCTTCTCTTGGCAACAATGCCTACCGTACATGGCTACCGAGGACAGGTTGGCAGAGTCCTATGTCTGATCTGTTGGGTTTTACTTATGTCTTCTGTTGCCCGAAGTTAACACTTGACAATCTCAGACTTATCACACCTGATCATGGCATTTGGTTGAAGTGTGTTTGGGATTTAACTTGTATTCTGATGTCATTATATTTGTGTCTAATTACTCTTTTATCATTCAAAATGACAAATAGTTTGAAGTTGTTAAACTGTTGCTAAATCTTGTAAATCATTTTGGTATTAGGCCCAAGTAAAAGTCAAATTTCACTTGGTAACTAAGGACAAATGACAGTATCTTTTAGTAGCTGATATTGATATACATATGTCTTTGACAACAAAAGGAATATAAAATGTCCTTGCCTGAGAATAACTACCGTATAACGAGTAAAGTGCGCACCCTAGTCTCAATTATTTTACAAAACAGATGCCATTAGGCGTAAAAGGCAAAATAGCGGCGAAAATTGTATGTATGGACCACTTAAAATCACCTACAATTCCCAGCTTATCTGAAGCTGTTACACTCCTAATAGCGAATACAATGATGGTATTGCAATAGCAAGTCATGAAATTGTTGATCTGATTACAATAATATTGTATTTTGATATTCTATTTCAGATATTCTGATTCTTGAATGGCAAATTGATTTAAGACATAATAAATATATCTTTAACTATTTCATCATAGTTAGTGAGTGAGTGAGTGAGTGAGTATGGTTTTACGCCACTTATAGCAATATTCCAGCAATATCATGGCGGGGGACACCAGAAATGGGCTTCACACATTGTTCCCATGTTGGGAATCAAACCTGGGTCTTCAGCGTGATGAGAGAACGCTTTAACCATTAAGCAGCTCTCACACTTTGCCGAGGTAGTTGCCGAGCTCGGTTAGGACTCGGAAAGAGACTACATATATACGAGTATCATACAAGTACGCTACAAGTGTGTTACGAGCCCCATAGGAGTCCAATATGAGTCCTATTAGGAGTCTATTAAGAGTGGCATACGAACACAACGATCTCGATACGAGCTGTACGACTTTGGTACGAGGTGGCTACGAGCTTCTAAATAATTCGGCAGGAATTTGGCACATGATTTAACATGGAATCTCGTCTAGCTTGTATTAGACTCGGTCAACTCGGCAATAAATTTTGCAGACGATCCTCATACGAGTTCTGTATAACCACCATGAGGTCGCCACGATGGTACTACGAGTAGGACGAGTGTGTTACGAGTGTGTTACGAGTTTGTTACGAGTTTCTTAGGAGTTGGCTGGCGGCCCGAATGTTTTGAGCAGTTCCAAAACTCTCGTAGATCAGTACGAGGTATCCGGAGTTACCCCGAGTTTAGTACGACCTCGCTACGAGCTCCATGTGAGTTCCCCCGAGTCAGCTCGGGTCCATACTCAGGACGCAACTCGGCAAAGTGTTAGAGCCCCTTTAGGCTACCCCACCACCCCTATTTCATCATAAGTTTATTTCGAAATTTAATATAATTTTTAAAGGGTCTGTTACCAAGAAGTTTTTTTGTTGTCAGCAGGCTGGTTCATAGTAGGGATTGTCTAATGTTTATATCCTCTGCTTATAGCATGGGTCGAGTGTATGTACTTGTGTGAGTTGTACACAAACTTGCATAAAATTAAAAAAATGACTCAAAGAATCTTAATGAGATATTTATTGAATGGAATATGTTGTTAAGTCATAACCTGCCCACTGAGTGAATGCTGCTTGAGGCTGCACAGAAATGGGGACATTTTTCCTTGAACATGTTAATTGTGTTATGAATAGGGATTGATAAATGGGTTATGAAAAGGATAAATGTATATATTTGAAAGTCAAATATGGATCTCTGAGATTTCATTTGCTGTATTCTTAGATATTATAAGTTGCTAACCAGTCTCGAGGGGGACCGAGGGACAACAAATTCATTTTACCACATACCTGATATTATATTACAGGTATGTCTTATGCGTGCTTGCTTTAGTCCGAATCAGTAAGAATACCTCAGTTAGGCATTTATCCAAATAGCAGATGACAGAAAAACAAACTTAGAATTATTCCCCCCTGTTTCTACATTGGAAACGTAATGCCAACAGTTTGGCAATTTGCGCAGGGAACATAGCATATGAACCTCAAATGTTAACAGGGTTTGAACTAAACTTAAAAGCTTCACTAAAGATAAAATGCCCTTGTTAAAACAATGGGGAAATTTGAAAATTTGTACTTGCCCACAGGAATTTGTACTAGCCCCAGTGTAACATTGAAAATAATAGAAAGCTTCTCAGTATTATCGGTAAATTGAGGTACATTTTTTCCATGATACGTATCACAATATCATTTTTCAATGCTCGATATATCGGGTGATTTCAAATTGTGATTTTTATGATTTGTTTAATGTTTTATACTTGCCAAATGTCTTTGCTGCCCCAGGGCCATAAGATGGCTGTGTAAACTTTATGTTGTACCAGCATCTTGTTTTGTATTGTGTAATATTGCCAGTTAGAATGATGTCATTTGCTAATGCAGAATAGGTTCTCAGTGACAATAGATTGGTAATATTAACACGATTAAGTCAATGAAACTGATGACATTCTTTGGACGAGGCCACAATCGGAAAAGTTCTTCAGTAACCTATGGAAAATATAGAAAAATGTTTGTTTCTTGTGTGCAGCTACTCTATTGTTGGAACGTCACATAAAATCATGTGTGATGTCACAAACAATGGATAATGTAATCTTCAATAATTGATGACAATATGTTCCTATGATGTCACAGTGCTTTGAGCTGCTTTGCAAACAATGAAGACAGTGGAAGAATTGGAATGAACTAGTCATTAATCGTGAAGTAAACATTATGGTGCTCAGTAACAATTACTGTAAATAATTGCATCACTATCAATGCCTCTATGTATAATATATTCTACTCAAAGGAAGTTAAAGAACACCCAATTCATGAAATGAAAGATTAAGTATAGTAATGTGAAAGAATGGGGTGTTCTTTAACTTCTTTTTAGTTGTATATTTGCATAATTTCACTTAATGCACAAGTGATTACCAGTAATGAACTGACTTGTCCAGGCTGTAAATTATTATATTACTGTACGCAGGTGGTGGGTAATGATGATTTCAATCCCCAGTGATAGTCTACCTTGCCAATCTTGTAAATATTAAAACACGATGTTTTTTTATGAATAATAACTTGTTTAATCTTTGTAACAACATTTCAGGGCTGTACATATTTCTGTACCCAGGTGTCGGGCAATGGCAATTTCAAACCTCAGTGATAGACTAACATGTCCAACCCGTATATGTTACTGTACGTGGGTGACAGGCAATGGTTTCTTAAATCTCTATGTACTAAATAAAGTAAAATGATCACATGCAACTATGAATGATATGTGTTATTGTGTATCCATAACAAGGGTGAATTAAGAGCATTATATGTATCTAATTTCAGAGCGAGCAACAGCAGTTTGACTTGCATCATGTCAATACATCTACAAGGTATGCTCCCTTTGGTACCGAAAACACACCTATGTTCCGCTCCAAAATAGTTGGTGGGAAACTAGTACCAGTTGTTGAGAGGCAAGCCAATCCGTAAGTAGTCATGTTAAGTATTGTAACTACATGTCTGGGATTGTCAGAAACTTGCATTGTAAGGACAAGAAACAAATTCTAGTGTTTCAGATAACTAGGCACTGACAGATATGGGATGGTTTGTAAAAAGAAAAGAGAATGATTTGTAACATATATGGCTTGCTTTGAACTGATTAAAATATTCAGATGGAATATTTCTTGGATTTGTGGGCCAAAAATGATATGAAACATCCAATGTATTTCAAAATGGAAATATGGGTTTCTTGGCAGTTTCTTCTATCTTGGTCACAAGTAAAATAATGGGTCAGTCAGGTTACATGAAACACAAGTATTTCTTTTCACTGATACCAGCTGAGGGACTCTCTCTTCCAAAAGAAGCTTTGGACGGGATTTGTCTTAAACTTGCATCACAGCACCTGTTGAGAGACTAGTTCTTACATAAGACAAATTTGGTTGATTTTCCTGATACAAAGTTCACAATAGGGTTATTGTGTCAGAAGAATATCACTTGAATCCAATATGAAAAAAATAATTCTCATCCTTGGTCTTTTAGAATGCAAGTTTTACTATGTTGTACCTGTGATTGTATTGTATTGTATGTGTATTGTATTGTATGTGTTGTATTGATGACTGATGTTGGATATGTTTATGTTTTGCATTGAGTATATTAACAGGCTTTTTACCTGATAGATTTTTCTCTGGTGTTTTTCATCATGGCAAGACCAGTCTATTTTCTTGATGTATAGATGAGCCTACTATAGATAAAATATAAGATATGATTTTTAGCACCTAGTTTGTATTTGTTAAAACTTCAGTTTTAAGACATATTTTTCAGAAATTAACTAAAAACAGCCTGACAATAATTGATTTGGTTCGGCTTTAATTTGACATTATGTCATCAGTATTACATACTTTTAGGGATATACCTTGGTATGTATTTCCTAAGCTTACCACTTAGGGCTGGGACGGGTAACAAGGGTACCCGGGTCGGGTGGTTACTGAATAGGACCCGGGTACCCGCAGGAATACCCGGACCCGTGGTTAGTCACATGATATATTATTAATAAATAATTATCTAGAACTCTATGGTTACACTAAAGTCACTAATGTTCGCATTTCTTTCTGACTGTGCACCCATTCCTTGATATAACTTAATTCAAATTCAGTGTATGAATGACCAGATTGTTAAATACATGTATCTAAATATGTTTTGCCAGGGCTATGCTAAAAATGTTCCCAATCGACATTTTGAGACATCTCCTGAGACCCACAGTGGGTACCCGGGTAGGGTCAGGTAATAGGGTGGTGGGTACCCGGGTAGGGTCGGGTAATAGAGTGGTGGGTACCCGGGTAGGGTCAGGTAATAGGGTGGTGGGTACCTGGGTAGGGTCGGGTACTAGGGTGGTGGGTACCTGGGTAGGGTCGGGTAATAGAGTGGTGGGTACCCGGGTAGGGTCGGGTAATAGGGTGGTGGGTACCTGGGTAGGGTCGGGTAATAGGGTCGTGGGTACCCGGTTAGGGTTGGGTAATAGGGTGGTGGGTACCCGGGTAGGGTCAGGTAATAGGGTGGTGGGTTCCCGTGTAGGGTCAGGTACTAGGGTGGTGGGTTCCCGGGTAGTAAATTTGGACTCATCCCAGCCCTACTTACCACCACATTTTACCATGCTTAATCTCACACAGCTGGTGACCTTAATCTGTTTGTGTACTTTATCAAACCACTATTTCTACTATAATGCATTCTCCAACAAATATTGAATAACATCAACAACAACAACAACAACAGATATCTGTCAGAGTATATTCTATGTTTGTAAGAAATGAATACCAGTATGTTTTATCCAGCTGGCTGCTGTGTTTACAACATTACAAAAGACCACATGGCTTGTGACTTGTGACAAAACAATGTCCCTATCAGATTCTATAATGTTTGTGTCCTGAAATCTGCCTTTCAGTTTGGTAGATCAAGCATTGGGTGCAGAGCAGCTTAACAAGTAATGTGATATGATAACATACATATTTTTCTAGGTTTGGTGTTTTTGTTGGCAATTTTTATATACAGAGACTTGGCTGACCTTAGATAGCGCTAGATAGATATTTGTGTGAGATGGGAAAGATGTATGTTTTAGTTGTGTAATATTTATTATCATATTTGGGTGTCTATATTTGCAGTGTTCAAAATTAAGGGGATCCCAGGATCCTTGAGTTTTCTATATTTTTCAAATCTATGGACCCCTGAATCTACACCTTTTTAACATTAGGGTTATGACAATGACCCCTTGACAGTCGTGCTTGATTGTGAATCCAGCATTTATGATGCACGTGTATTCCATGTCTATATATTGTTTACCCCTTTTGAACCTCAAACTGTTGCAAAACATGTAGCAAAAATTCAGATTCAAACTGTTTTAAATAAAGCAATGTTCAAAATATAGAGGACCGAGGTCCTTTAGGTTTTCTGTTATAGTAGTTGAATCTTTGAACACTGTTAATTTGCGTTCTGACAGTTGTGATGAAAAAAACAATAGAAAGTTAAATGTATATCATTTTCACTTCACTATTTGTTTACATTTATTGATTTTATCAAATTTATGATACTTCCTGCTTTGAGTCTGATGAATTGGAGTATCAACTAATTTCCGTTTTTTCAATGTAGGTCTCTTTCTATGGATGAGTGAGTGAAACTTATGTTATTGCATGAAAAAAAAATTCACAAGAAATAGATTTGTGTAGAATTTGGGTCTCTGCCATATACTGTAGTGTTAACCAGAAATGATCCAATCCATTCACAGCACATTGCATATTTTTATTAAACTAATTTTTATCTCGATTAAGGATTTACTTTCTGATGTCATTTCCATTCCTTTGATTGCTTCACTGAGGTGAATCACATCATTGTGGTTGTTGTGTCATTTGAAATATGTTTATGTATCTCTATTACCCACACCAACCTTAACCAACCCCAAGTTACAGTGAATGTGAAAGCTGTCTTAAGTTATATCACAGGGGTAGATTTAACAACAAATTTGTATGTTCCCAGCATGGCATGCACCTTTCAAAAGTAACTGACCCTTCTCCAAACTAACTGGCCCAAAACTAAATTTTGGAGGCCATGGCTGAGTTACCCAGGGTGCGCTGAAAATTTTAGAACTCTTCACCCCTAAAATGTCATTTCCGGCACTCTGAGATTAAATCATGGCTTCCATTTGCTTCATTTTGTGGCGATTTTATGAGCAAATAAAGATGTTGTTAATTACAAATAATTACATTACAAAATAGCCCTCTGTTGTGTCTTTCTACCAAGCATTCGTCACCACTCGCCCCTTTCCATAACCTCAAATAACACTCGTCCCCCTATCGATGAATGTTATGTGCGAAAATACAACAAACCAATCAGAATGCATGTATGATTTCAAATTCTTTGTCAAAGAATCCCTCAAGAAATAATTTATTATTTTACATATGTCTTGATTTGAAAAATATACCCAAGACGCAAAAATGGCCATGAGAGGGGCACGAGTCGCTATTCAGCTTGTCCTGGGATAACACGAGTTGGTCACAAAACTCAACCGAGAGCCACCATTCACATGACTTCATCCCCAGCAAATATTTTCTCATGAAAATTACATGATTCACAAGCAGTGTCCATTTAAACTTATTAAACATACACAGAGAAGGGATGACATTTTGACAAGACAGATGTGCGATCTACTTTATGTTTCAGCAATCCTTTCATAGGTTTAACTGACCACTGCTTGTGAATCATGTAATTTCGATGAGAAACGGGCAAGCAGTTAAATCAACCCCTGTATCAGAGATGCTGTTATGTAAGCTATCTTGGAGTGAAGGACATTCTCAGACCAAATATATTTGCACCCAGCTCTCATATCAGTGGGTTTATCACATCCTGGATAGGCCTCTGTACAACAGAATTTATCATTGCCCCTATTGTAATGTATGTCCTTTTGTTAGCTGAAAATGAGTCAATTCATTTATTTTTGTAATTATATCCTTTTTTGTAATCTGCATAATTAATGCCCCCAAAAAAGTCAGGGATGCATACCCCTGTACCTCTCCTACACCACATCATGGCTATATATATTCGCAGGTGTTGGATGAACTTAGTGTACACAAACCCTTGCAATACTGACGTTAGAAGCCCAGGGGCTGTCTGACATAACATCAAAGGGTGAATTTACTTTTCAGTTGTTTATTTTGTGTAAGTAGTGTAAACAGTCCCAAACATGCCATGGTAACTTTAAGTATTTTCACGTATCTACCCTATCCACGCTTCATAAAGTAGATTTGTTACAGAAAAATACACTCGAAATTGTTGATTTCCCTGAACACACTTAATCTCCACTTCATCTGGCAAGCAGGTTCGATAATACCAGTGTCAAGCATGCGTAATGACAGCCTTGATGGATCAGCTGATGCTATTAAGATCGTTCCTACAGTGGTTTCTTTGTCAGCCCTCGATGATGTAAAACCCCCTTAATCCATACGAATGTGTTCCTACCGTCCATGTTCCTGCTTGATTTCCATCAATCAATGTGCAGAGGCGTGAGACGGCACATAAATACTCAGTAATGACACAGTTTTGATTGACAGGTATGCATTACATTTGTTGTTGATTGCTGTTGTCAATGACATGCTTGGTAATCATGTTAATTACGAGCTGTTAAGTAGCCACTGTATAATATTATTTGCTATTCAGCTTGAGCGTTGATATTCCTTCACCTGGTAGGGCTGTAGAGACACAGCTGTATGAGACTAGAGCCTGGTGCTAAGACTAAAGCTGGTGACTTTTGAAGCATAATTTTTTGTTCCTATTTACATTATTTTATTATTGAAATAACAAGTTCATATTAGGGAAATGGCTACATTTAAGGACTGTTTGTTCCAAAAGAAGTTTTTGTGACTGGTTAGAAATTGTCTTTTGTGGTCATTTTTAGTAGATTCTTTGGTTAATATATCTACAATATTAGATTATCATACTAGACAGAATTCCAGGTTAGTTCCCTAGCAACCAATGCTTGTCGTGTGAGGCAACTAAATGGATTCGGTTGTCAGGCAGGTGACTTGATGGATAGCGTGTCATTGCACCATGATGGCGTTAGGATTCCTGTTTAGATTTGGTCCCCAGCAATCGATGCTTGTCATACCAAATCTAAAAATATTGGTTGGTCAGATTCAGTGACTAGGTTGATTACATATCATGGTACCCCATCTGTGGGACGCTGCTCATGATATCAATCTCTGGTTTGTCTGGTACAAACTTGATTATTCACAAGGTGCCTCATATAGCTGGGATATTGATGAGTGTGTCATTAAACAACAAGCGGACAAATACAAGACAGAAAGACATCTTGCTGGATTCGGGCTTCAGACTTGTGGCTGTGATAAATTCAGAAATAGTGTTTCAAATGTAACAAATGTTATATCTGGGATAATACTTTTTTAGTAAAGTACAGATTCTAGCACTTTTTTGGGTTGATTCTGATCCGAGATTGGAACCCACACTCCCAGAGTAAAACAACCTAACCACGAGCACACAAGCTCAGCGATGTAAGCCACTTAACCACTGAGGGTTCCACAAAAATGAAATTCCGACAACTGCTAGTCTAGATCACTTACTTTGTGTACCCCTCTGACAAGTGTAAATTGGCACTTCTCCCATCATTATCCCAAATATAACATTTGTTACATTTGACCACTTTCTAAATGACACTGTGTATTCACAGTGTTTCCAGCACTGGGAGTTTCACAGTACAGAATTGAAATTTCTAAGCTATTATTTTTATTTCATGCAACCATGGCAACCACAATTCACAAAGTTTCCTGATAAGAACACTTGAAATTTTTGCCTAAAGCCAGGCTATTATGTGTTGTGATCAGAAACTGAGAGGTAAAGCTTTAAACAAAGGTGATTTATAGAGGACCCAGCCATGGTTGTTTTATGTGGTCGAAATTCATGGATTCAAATCACCTCTGATGTGAAGCTGAAGGTGGGTGTTGATAAGCTTGAGTCATGTTGGGTATTACACGGCCTTCCCCTACATAGCTTACCTTATCATAGAATAAGTGAATTGGTTTAACACTGCTTGGAATAGCAATTCAGTTCTATCGCAGTGTTCACTAATGTGTGAGGACAGCCTGAATCATGCAGGTGTTTAATGTTTACTTCTTGTAAAACCCATGAACATGGGCAGGGTCTGACATAAACGTACGTTTTATAGAGACTAGTCAAATTGTTGAAGTACTAATTAGATTTCCTTGTGGACTACCACTTTTGCCATGACACATGGCTGCTCTGTAGAGTATCATTTTTGTGGACTGGTGGAAATAAAAATTAATTTCTAACCCTTATCGGAATGGTGCTAACAAACCAAGAATCATCATCAGGGCAATTCTGGGATTTGAACCCATGATCATAGCATCCTGGCATGTCTAAGGGATGCTACTCAGCACCGCAGGTTGATGTGGCTTAGATGTCTAGGCCATTCATGGCATTGAGAACAAGACTTTGGAGAAGAGTAGTCTTCACAATTGAATGATGCATTGCTTGACTGTGGCCAGCACAGAAAACTGAGGACCTGTTATTTTAAGTCAGTTCCCAGCTAGGCCTGTATATAATACTGGTCTTAGCTAAAATCGTATGAGTCTACAAGCTCGAATTTGTCTGTTAGCATCATTTTCCGATGATATTAGTTTCAAGATGTGGACTAATGGTTAAAGTCTGACTGTAGTACTTGGCTAGTGACAGTTTTGCAGGGGCAGTCATTTTTTATCAGTCACTTTTCATATAAGAAATCTCTGCCAAAAACAATTGTACGATTCCAACATGAGCATGTGTTTATGAATCACTATCAAATAGTGACAATACCGGGTGTTTGTGCATAGATGAGCATATCCTGCCCCACTAGTGGCCCCTGTCACAAACACATGCAAAGCCAAGTCAGTTGTTGACCTGAAAAAAACATGGGAAGATATG